CGAGTGTTCCTCGCATTATTGTCTAGTGGGTGGGTTTTCGTTTTTACCGTTGTAGGTATATATTCTTTGGCTATGAGGAATAAGAATTCCGCTGCCTTGCTTGGATGGGGGTTGTGTCTAGTGGTGGATGGGTGTTATATCACCTGGGTGAGTTTTCTTCGGGATACATACTGAGTGATCAACCGTCTGGTCTCCGACCTTGTTCGCAGAATACAGCTCTGGTATCAGCGAGGACAGAATAAAGATAAAAATTTGGGGGGTCACACGTCTACATCACCTCATCTGAAAACATACAAATTGTACGACAATCAAAGGCCGGTGCTCAGATGCCCCATGTTGGAGTGGCTCCGATTGCGGGTAACGGTATGTCAAACGGAGCGTCAAACCCATGCAACACGTGTGACACGCTTTCGCTTTGTTACTGCATTTATTGCTTGCATTGTTTAGCGTCACCTTGGCCCGTTTTAGTACCACGATTCGCCAATAAATGTCTACGACTCCCACGAGTGTTTTTGTCTAGCTTAGGCAGCGAGACACTAGGAGTTCGCGCGCAGTTTGAGACTTGTAAGAACACTTACGGGCAGGTCATCAACTCCGGTTAGCTTCAGATTTACAGAAATCTGATAATTTTTCAAAATGAACTGAGACAGCTGTATGCGGGCCCACCAATTAAGTGACTTTGTAAACACTGCGCAACACCAGCCGAGAATTTCCAGAGAATTCTGAAGGCATCAGTGACTCTCCAGATTAAGGAAAACAAAGAGGAACCAGAAGGGGTTACTTCAGTTTCATCCGCAAATAAAAATACACAAGAGAAGTGGGAAACCGAAACAGTGAAGTTGAATCACAAACCATGAGGACTTTAAAGGCTACAAAGAGTGTGGTGAAACCAGAGGTACAGCGCAAAAGACTAGCGGTACGCTCAAATTTATTCAAGAACAGGGTGATCAACTCATAGATTAAGTTACCCCAAAAGCTGGTTGAGCTAGGGAGTGTAATTGCTTCAAAGAAGGAGCTCGATACGCGCCGGTTGGACACGTTTCCCGAACTAGACGCGTGGGATAAGGCCCCAAATTAAATTTGTTTTTCTTTATTATACCCCAAGAAGGGAACGCTTCCAAATGTGAAATCTCTCGCCTGAAGTAGCGGAGAAGATATTTTCCTTTCTTCCTCTTCCATTGCAGACGCTGAGTCGACCGGAACGAGCAGAAAACGTCAGGATTATGAGTCATTATGTGGGTGCCGATGTTCGTTAGACCCTTTCACTAATGTTTACTCACGTTCTTTCTGGATATCCGTACCAAGAAGAAACAGAATCAGGGATTGAGATTGTGAAAGCGTTATATTCCGAAACTTCCGAAGTGTTGGAAGTAAGTTCGGCTAGGCCTAGGCTGCTATTTAAGCAACGACAGCGGAAACCTGAAAGTGCATCTGATCAATGCAAAAAAAGCGCGCGACACAGGGCTCACCGTGAGGAATTGTGCCGGTACAACCTTTTCGAGCCCATTAAAAGCATGATAATGGTTAAATCAAAACTTAATTCTGGAAGTATCCAATTTGCTATATCTAATGTAAAAACTTTCTCTAGAAGATCAATATCGCCAAATAATGGCGATACGTGTCGAATCTCTTGATTGTGCCCGGTAGAGAAAAAAGATCCTTATGTTGGAAGGAAAAGGTTAACGGTGGCCTAGCTTCTATGATTAATCTACCTGATCGATAGGCTAGGTCACTACTTAATACCTGGACCTTGAGGGTTCTAATAAGTATATCATGATGACGTAGCCATGACTTGATAGTCCTCAACTATACAGGACTTGCTAGAAACTGAACCTGTCCTGAAGCTAGTCATCAGCGCAGGGTGAAGGTGCCTTGGTCCGTGATTTGCTAATCACATCTAGCTTGAGTGGATCTATCAGAAAAGCAAGAGGCAAGTAAAGAAAACTGCCGTTGCGAAAATGTCTGTTAAAGAACCGCTACAGAACCACAATAAAGAACACTCGCAGTGGTAGTTGTCACCTTGTGGCTTACTACCGAAGGAACTCTGAACGCTCGATTGGCCACGGCCATCTCATGTCCTTTACAACCTGACCTGACCTGAGCCGACCATTCACACCGACTGGAGCAAGAAACTGAACACTCGTTAGCTCAATCCGCAAGTCCTGGAACCTGGCCTGATTTGATCTGATCTGGTCTGAATAGAGCCCCAAGCCTATGAAATGCTTGAAGACTTCAACTGAACTGTCCCTCTTGAAAGAAGGGATCATTTTTCGCTGAATTTTGACTACATCGTTGCTTGGAATCTGTTTAGCGATAACACTCAATACGTTTGTATCTTTAAAAGAAACTTCACATCTATCTTTCTTCTGAAATGTCTGTGGATGGCCTCGCCAGGCATATAGAGCAGGTCAACTTCCTCGCAGACTCGCAATTCGTTCCCCAAATTTGAATTTCATCTAATGATGAGCCCCATCCCCATCGCCCAATTCGCCGGCTGTTAGATACAAGGGTCAAGCTTCTTGCGAGATACATGAATACTCGCCTCCATGCCGACGGAGATGCTTTCAAACAAGTTAGAAACCACCGCCGACAGAAAATACGGGAGCATCAGAGGTACACCCAAAGAGCTATCCTTACCAATGCTCGAAACAATAAGCCTTTCTTCTTTGAATACATCCGTAGCTGGCGTGAGCACTCTCTTTGCCCGATAGCTCTCAACTATCCAGACGGACCAAATTGCCTCATCACCACCAGAGGTGGCGGATCCCTTCTGATCACACTTCCAGGAAACATTCAATTCCCCTCTGGCGCTCAATCACCCCATTCTGCAGCCGCTATATATAAATTGATCCCTAAGATCCATCATTTTCACACAAGCTAAGGTTGAAAGGAGACCCCGGAGCATTAATCCGTATCCTCCATAAAACTTTATAGTATACACCCCAGGGTACTGGTGGAGTCACCTGGTGTAATAGCTGCCCCGTACACTCTTCTGTTGCAACGCAGTATGGAAGAGGGAAACTTTCCCATAAACTGGAAGGAGGCTGTTATTTTCCCCATCTACGAAAAGGCGATAGACACTTCCCTGTTAGCTACCGTCCCATTTCTCTAGCCAGCATCCCCAGAAACATTTTCGAGTGTCTTATGAAAGATGAAATTCTGAAGCATCTTACGGTCAATAATCTTCTTTTCGTTTCCAGCACGGATTTCCACGTGGCAGATCTTGCATCACCAATATGCTCACTGTCATGGATAGCCTGATCAAAGTACTCGATTCCGACAAGAACTCCCATGCAATTTTCATTGACTTCGTGAAGGCCTTTGACAAAGTCCCACATCTCTCTGTTTTCCACAAACTTGTAGCACACGGTACTGCTGCACTCATTCGTAGCTTCCTCTCGAATCGCTTAATTGCTGTGCGGGTTGGTAAATCTTCATCACAGTCCGGTCTGATTACAACCAGTGTTCCCCAGAATCCGTATTCGGCTCCTGTGGTGATCCAGGCCTACACGATAGCGCCTACCCTGGAGCGGCGCGTTACGGCTTCAGGACATTGGCGATCGACCAAGTTTGAATGCTGACGTCAATAGCACGTGCATAGCTTCTGAATACACGTCACTAGCGGATGGTGCCAGCCAATCCAAGACACTGCAGACAGAAGCAAGATTATGCTAGAAGTACTGCAATCTAATTGGTGGAAGCCCAGGTAGCCAATAATCTTCTTTTGTACATATTATTTAATAACCTTTATTTCTTCCAATAAACGAACTACTAACTGCCTATCCTCTGGCCTTTTCCTCGCGTCTCGTTCGTTTGGGACATTGCGAATCCGTGCCATTGTGATCCAGTGCTTCTGCGATCTAGTCCGTGATAACTGATTATCGATTTGGGTCCTGTAATTCATATTGCGTGGTTGGTGTTCTGAATTCCGTGCGTATTTGTACTACTACTGCAATCAATACAAATTGGTGTCCCGTGATGGAACTCCCAACGATTGAGCAACTGAACCTGCAAGCAAGTCCATCTGAGATCAAGGAATGGGTTGAACGGTTTGAGCTGTGCTGCAGAATTCGCAAAGGTGATGCACAGAACCAGTCAGCCCTATTTCTTTCTGCTGGCGGCCGTGACCTCTTCTCCCTGTTGAGAAACCGGGCGTTCCCTGAGGCTCCAGCCAAACTACCATTTGAGTCCCTGAAATTGCTACTGCTCAACCACCTACTGCCGACTGAATTCCAAGCACATGAAAGGGCCAAATTCACCTCCGTGATTCTTGCCGATCATTTTTTCTGCCGTGAATTCATCCTTCAGTTAAACAAACAAGCATCACACTGCATTTATGGTGATCGCCTGGAAGAACAAATGTGTGACCACTTGATGGCAGACATCAATAATCTGACTCTTCAACGAAAGTTGCCGGAGAAGAAAAATTTAACTTTTGCCGATGCCCGCAAGATCTATGAGCAACATGACGACCTGATGAAAGCCACTTCCAGTGAATTAGTCACATTATTCCAACGNCCTCCATTGCCCACGTGAGTTCCGAAGCCGCCATACACCTCTTCAAGCAACGAGAAACGTATCCATCCCTGCTTGTCATGGGAAGCTTACCATCTGCGCTCCAATTACCGCTTCCGAAATGCCAAGTGTCATGCATGCGGGAAAACTGGCTACATTAGGAGAGTGTGCAAACAGCCCCGTTGAAACCTTGCACAACCGACTGCTGCGAATGACACAAATCTGGTGCTCTATCTACGATCCGAAAGCCAACGCACCCAACTCTTATACACAGATGTAAAATTTCAGTCCGGCACAAGGCACATATTCATTGTTGATACGGGAAGCATGGAATCTATTCTTTCTATTGCTGTGCTTCGATCAATCTGCCCCCAAGCCGAAATCCATCCGACATCCGTGCGAACCCTTGAGGTGACTGGACACAAATTGCCATTGCTTGTTGAGGTTTCATTGATGGTACATACCAAAGAACATCGTCTTGTTCCCATCCACTTCCTAATTGCTAAAAACAGTCCCTCCATACTTGGCCTAACCTCCATTCGTGAATTAAACCATTATATGTCGCTCCATACAAACTCTATGTCCAATATGCACACCCATCTACAGCACCTGGTCGTGAAATGTTTCAATAATACGGGAGGTATGAACATACAACCGGCCAAACTGGAAGTTGATGGTGAACTCATTTTCCTGAAACGACGTATAATTCCCTACAGCCAACACGAAGGTGTACTGCAGGCTCTTGAGAAAATGGAGCGCAATGGCATAATCAAACGAGTCACATCCAGTACTTGGGCAACGCAAATTGTGATCGCAATCAAGAGTGACAGTGAAACACCGCGAATTTTTGGCGATTACCGCTTGAAACTCAACCCGCGGTTGCGAAAGTGTGCGGCTACCACCATGGAACCGGAGAATTTCATGAAAACATTGCACGGTAGCACATGCCTCTCGAAAATTGACTTATAACAGGTGTATATTTCACGAAGCCCCGTGAAGCATGCATAGGCATGATCAAATGTGCAACATAATCATCCGTATAGGAGAAGCCAAGAAGGAAAACTTTGAAGGTCTCGGTGAACATAATTACAAATGGAACACAAAATGGACAAGGTATCAGAGAAAAAAGTTTGGGATGGCGGAATGCTCTAAAAGAGCAAGTCGGTGGAAGTAGGACGGAAAACAAGAATCGTTATACCGGATGAATGACGAGATGACTGGAAATACGGCAATCAGCGAGTAAAATAACAAGAGGCGGCCTGTAGATCGTTGGACGGGAATGGACGGAAACCGACACAAGAGCGGAAAGAATGAAGCAGAACAGAGTGAAACTGTCATGGAATATGTATGCACTGCAAGTGGTGAAACAGATGGGTTCTGTAGGGTCTTGATCAATGATCTCAGGGGCTCCGATCAGCAATGGATTGATTTGGGTTATTTACGTTATTTAGGCGTTGGTCGCTTTGATGTGGGAATGACTACACGCTAGGCACCCAACCTTAAAACACTTTGTAGGTGAGGCAGGGGGTGCGTTCCTCAACCTGGTTCGGAATGTGGACGCATGTAGTCAAAGCGGTGGTTACGGCCGCGCCCAAAAACCATTGCCCGTGCCAAATTGTTCATTGCTGGTGTAGACCCCAAGCCTTCGTCAGGTCCAAACCAAACGAATCTGGAATAGGAAGGCTTACAACGGCAGTCTGGGGTAATACCCAGCTGGGAAGGGATCGGGGAGGAAAATAGTAAATAGCTAGCGACAAAATCTAATTGGAGTGGGTGCTTAGGTCATAATACTGGTAAAAGGATGTTATCATAATATGTCTTGCTCTACAGATCCAAAATGGAGGTGGATGCGTGTATTGATAGAACATCAGTTGATAATATGGACACTGCTACCTGGTTTGCATGTGCCACGGAGATGGGCCAGTTAAGTCAGACAAGAACAAGATCAGATGGATATAAAGTGAGAATTTCTGGGTCACAATACTTATAAAAGTATGTACCAAAGTAGATTGTTCCGCAGATCCAGTTTTGAAGCTAGATCCGATGTATACCTCCAGATCCCACTCGCACCAACCTGCCGGCATTTCACCACTATCAACACACCATGGGGACTGTATCAATACAACTTTATACCGTTTGGTCTCCACACATCCTCCGGCATATTCCAGGCGGCAATTGACGAAGTCATCCATGGACTCGATTGCGTGTTAGCGTACCAGGACGATGTCATTGTATTTGGCACAACGAAGGTCGAGCATGACGATGGACTTCTCAAACTACTGGAGCGGTTTGCCCAAAAGAACGTGTCAATTCGAGTCTCCCAATGCATGCTCAGCTAACCATAATTAGAATTCTTGGGTTTCACAGTGGATGCTAGAGGCCATCGCCCTGATCCAAGTTGCTTCCGCCCATTGACTGAACTTGAGTCACCAAGAGATTAAAACCAACTCAGATCCATCATGGGATGTCTCCAACACTATTCGCGTTTCATCCCGAACTTTGCCATAAAAGCCCAACCGCTGTTACCTGTTTAGTCGACTACGAAATGGAAATGGACTACCGAGTGTAAACAAATTCTGCGTGAAATCATTCAGATGATAACTGAACGACCAGTATTTGCCTCGTTATCTTCGACGAAACATCCAACTTTGATCATCGATGCATCAGATGTTGGCATTGGTGCCGTCCTCGAACAGAACGGATGTCCGATTATCTGCATCTCTTGTCTACTCAACAAAGCGGAACAAGGAAATTCACTGACGCAAAAAGAAGCACTAGCTGTATATTGGGCCGTCCGTGGCCTACACAAATACCTGTTTGGATTGCGTTTCATCACCGTAATCGATCATGAAGCGTTGCAATATCCATTCAGCCCACAAAAGTCGATCTCCAAACCGACGGCGGCGATGATTCAGCGATGGAGCATTGTATCGGCTGCTTACGACTGCGACATAGTGCACCGTTCGGGTAAAGCAATTCTCCAGGCCGATTTTCTTTCGCGGTGGTCCAAATTCTCGGAGGCTAAGCGGTGCCACTTCATTGCTACTGCTGCCACGATATCCCGAGAGGAGTTGCGCCGATGTACCAAACAATACTATGCGGAACTCATAACTGCTCTATCAAAAGGATGGCGTCCCGACCTGAAGCGGACGTTCGCAGCATTCTATGCACACCGTGAAGAAATCAGTGTCCAACCTGAATACCATGCCGCAACGATCGACTGATCATCTTACCTCCGCTACGCATGGCAGTGCTAGAAGACCTACACAAAGGCCACTTAGGAGTGGAGAAGATGAAGTCGTTGGCAAGACAGATGTGTTGGTGGCCCGGTCTAGATGAAGACATTGGTCGAACTGCTAAGAACTGCGAGGCATGCCTACAAAAGCAGAAGTCAAAACCGAAGAATTGGGTTTCACGGCCAGAAAGCTGTATTCCGCGGCAACGTGTGCACGCCGAATTCTGTTGACCATTTCTCGGCCATTATCACGCCCTAATATTTACCGATTCATACTCCAAATGGACTGAAGTGTTTCTAACCAGCACACCAACTACATCGTTTGTGATGCGGGTACTACGAAAGAGTTCCAGACGAGAGAGTGTTCCTCAATTGTTGGTGACTGACAATGGATTGCAATTCTGCGCTGTGGAGTTGAAAACGTGGCTGGACAGTATTGGCTGCCGACATTTACGCACAGCACCACGTCACCCCTGCTTGAACGGCGCAGCAGAAAATTTAGTGAAAACAGTGAAGAGTGCCATTTCCTCTGCAAATCCAAGGACATTTGTAGAGTTGGAGATACTCCTAGACAACTTCCTACTGCAATACTGGAATGCTGAACGTGCTACCACCAAAGAGAGCCCAGTGAACCTGTTCAAAGCCAGAAGCTTACGTTTCTCACTGCGATGCGTTTTTTTGAGTGACGTCGTATACTTCCGAGGAAACGACTTGCGACCATCAAGAGGAATCATTACCCGCAAGATTGGTCAAGCTAAGGTCGAGATCACTGATCTGACAGATGCAACGGTCTACCGACGCCACATTGACCAAATTCACTTCAACGAAACTCCGACTTCGACTAAAGACGTTGCCGAAGAAATCCAAGAAAACGTGCCCTGTGATACGCCGTCAATATCTACTGAAGATCAGATGCAACAGCTCTATATTAAGGGAATGACTACCAACGAGGATACCCCACTAGCACTCCGACGACCAATCAGAAGAGCAAGTCAATTTGACGAAGCTCTCTTGAGGGAAGAGAGTTGTGGTGATCCAGGCCTACACGATAGCGCCTACCCTGGAGCGGCGCGTTACAGCTTCAGGACATTGGCGATCGACCAAGTTTGAATGCTGACGTCAATAGCACGTGCATAGCTTCTGAATACACGTCACTAGCGGATGGTGCCAGCCAATCCAAGACACTGCAGACAGAAGCAAGATTATGCTAGAAGTACTGCAATCTAATTGGTGGAAGCCCAGGTAGCCAATAATCTTCTTTTGTACATATTATTTAATAACCTTTATTTCTTCCAATAAACGAACTACTAACTGCCTATCCTCTGGCCTTTTCCTCGCGTCTCGTTCGTTTGGGACATTGCGAATCCGTGCCATTGTGATCCAGTGCTTCTGCGATCTAGTCCGTGATAACTGATTATCGATTTGGGTCCTGTAATTCATATTGCGTGGTTGGTGTTCTGAATTCCGTGCGTATTTGTACTACTACTGCAATCAATAAAGTTCCGTTCTCTTCCTAGTTTATATAAATAATCTTCCCGATGTAGTGTCTGTATCTCATGTTGAATTTTTGAAAATCCTTCCAAACCCATGATGATTCGGGACGATATAACTCTCTCTGTGTATTGCTTCCCTATTGACATTTCTCAATCGCAAACATCATTGATCATTCTTTATTTGTAAATTTGATGCCCGGCACATTTGAATTTTGCTTGCATAGAGAACGTGAGCGACTGTTTGGCTCTTTCTGGACAGCACATTTTGCTCGCTTACTTGAGTGCTTTCCGCCCTCATATTTGATGTTTGCTTTATTGTACATTGGTAATGATTTTGCTAATTCAGTACCGTAAAACATTGCTAATCAATCGTGTTTCATGTCGAATTTCGTATCGGTTTCGTCTATTCGTCAATCAATTGCAAATAAATTGACGTACGGTGTCATCAAGAATTGCGCTGTACGCCGATGATTTCACCATCTGGGATACAGACACTTCTCTTTTACAGGCCTCAATTGATGCTACCAAATGCTGGTCACTGGATTGGAATCTTCCAATCAACAATGACCAGTGTGTTGGAGTTTCATTCATTGATCACCCATCTTACCCTTTTACGATAGACGTTTCCCACACTCCACCCCAAGGAACCAATACACAGTTCTTGGTTTTTGACTGAACAACAACTGGTCTTCTTCTTATCACAACCATCTAACCAGTAAAGCCGCCTTTTGTGACCTGAACCTCATAAAAGAATGTTTCCCCCATATTCTAAAGGATTATTTTCCTCTTATCTACGGAACGTACATCCGCCCTCTCTTAGAGTACGGGAGCCAAGTTTTACACTCCGGGTTCATTTGAGATTGTGACTGCCTTGAGTGCCTCCAGATGGCCGCTACAGAAATTGTCCTTGGATTCAGGGACCTCCCCTACCCAACAGAACTTCAACAACTGGGCCTTTATCCGTTTGAAATCAGATGCATTTGAGGAGATCTATTTCTCCTCAACCATCTCTTTGACACGGGCACTGTCGAAACCTTCCTCATCATTGATGATTCTAACCGTATCTGAGGTCATAGCGAAAACATTTTCAAGCCCCGTGCGAGAACCACTCTGCGTGCCTCATTTTTACCTTCAGGGTGATATCCTTATGAAATGCTTTCCAACAAGAGATAATCAGAATCCTCAGCAAGGGGGTCTTTAAACTTCGTCTTGACCGTAACTTAGGTTTATCTATTCAACCT